AGATTTGATTAGGTTCCATCTTGTTGAGAGTATGTAGCACTCCAGGTATTTGAAAATTGACAATCTCTGTATTACATTCAGGTGTATGATTCAGTTCAAAATTATCTACTGAGGACCTGCTGCATAGAAGCCTTCCTTCCCTAATAAGAACATTTCATTAATTAACTAAGGGTCGGGGCACACACAAATGGTAATAATGGCTTTACTTTTGGACAATCTAAATAACTGTCTCAATCCCACCACTGCTTTTTATCTTTGCCCCAGTCAATATAGTGTTCCCTTTTTTGACAAGTATCTACTGAGTGACAACTATGAATTAGACACTGTCCCACAACTTTGAGATATTAGCCATTTACTGAAGGAAAGAAACTCATCAACACTACATTACAATGCAATAGGATAAATGGTATAGCAGAGGGACATGCATGCCATGGGGATCCTCCATAGGAAGGAATGTAAGGTTATCCAGAGGAACAACATGAGGAAATTCCCAGACAAAGCAGGGTGGAAAAGACATTCCAGGAAATGAGGGGACTTATGCAAAAGCACCAACATGTGACAGAACACACAGTATTTGAAGTTAGCCCAGTTCCTTGTGATTGGGGAAAAATAGGAGACCCAGCAGGTGAGAAGGTTAGTATCACATTCAAAGAGCCTTGAAAAATTAGCTAAATGCAACAGCAGGAACCACGGCAAGATTGTTTAGCAGGGGAGTGACATGTTAAGATTTTACTTTTTGGGTAATTTAGCAATCTATGTGGAGGATTACTTGGGATGGGGCAAAAGGGACTGATGGCAACAAGATGAGGTAGCATTCAAGTGACAGGTGATGAGGGCCTTGACCAGAGACAGAGGGGCTGAAGCTAAAGGGGATGGATTTAGCAAGTAGAATTGGTAGCCTATTTGATGTGTGTTGTGAGGGAGAAGAGTGAGGCAGTGGGGACTATAGTTTATGGAGCCATGGTCAATGGTGTTGAGCAAACTAAATAACAGGAAGAGAATTAATTTTGTAGGAGAAAATAAGGAGTGTGTTTTGATAAATGGTGAATCTGAGGTGGTTTTGAGATACAAATATGGAAATATTCATAGGTACACAGAGAGAGAGAGAGACACACACACACAGAGAGAGAGAGAGAGAAGGGGAAAGAGCAAGCTCATGGAAAGGTAGGGAAGGGTAGTGTCACAGAAATAAACTTCAGACCCATGAGCGTAGTGAAAGCCATGAAAAGAGGCTAAGGATGAGCAGAGGAGGCAGGAGACAGCCGTCCAGGTCGACTTTCTCACAAACTGCAGATTTTCTGCTGCTCTCTGCTCTCTAGCACCTTTCAAACCCTACGTAGCCAACCTCATTCCTTCAGCCATTTCAAATGGTAAATGTGTAGCCTGAACTTTGTTTCCATTTCCTAAGCAACACACTTAGATGGGAGGAGAATTTTTTTTTTCTGAGAAAGACTTCCTATTTTTTTCCTTAAAACATTTGAGACATTTTACAACTTAAACCAAGCAGCTATTTTCCTGGGATCTACGTACAGAAAATAAATGCATGATTGGTGTAGCCAAAGACCTCCGAAGAGGCTCTGTGATTATTTTTAGAGTGTCCGTGGCCGTGGATGTGAAGATGAAGTGCTAGAAAAGCAGAGAACAGGAAGAGGAATATGGCATGGAGGGACCCCAGGCCCTTGAGAAAAGGGAAGGGAGCTTATCCCTTAGGACAGCATTTCCCAAACTTCATCCTTTATGTACCACCTCTAAGGTCTTTGTGAAACTCCCCATGCCATCTACACAATTATTTACTTGTTTTTTTTCCTCTCTAAATCAATTCACTTTTAAACTTGAACATTTATACAAAACAAGTAATATCACTTTTGAAAATGGAGACCTGTATCACTTGCAATGGATATATAGGGGGGACTAGTTTTCAAAGTTAAAAACTTAAGTAAAACATGTAAAATGATTACCTTCTGGCCGGATACTATTGCTTGCCTATGGCTATGAACCTGAGAGCTGCTCTCTCTTGGCAAAGGCACGTGATAAGCAAGCATTAGAAAGGCTTTGAAGATATTCTAGTACCAAATTCAGATTCCACCCCACCCCCCCACCCCCACCTAGATAAGCAGAAGGATCGAAATAAATTTGAAAAAAGGACAACCTTCTCACCAGGTAATTCAATGTTGTCTAATGTTGGAACCACATTAGATACCACATGGGCATTCACCCAATCCTTTGAGTAACTTGTCCTAGGATTAATACTAAGGAGAGGTGAGGAGAGTGACTGGGGACTAAACAGCCTGCAACCAGCTTGAGACATCTAGAGGCAATTCCCACACTCTTGCCTTGGTACCTATGGCAGTCACATTAACAAAGAGTCCATTCTGCCGGCTGTATAGAAGCCCCTGAGAGTCCCTGAGAGCTATGCATGGATTCTGTAGGCATTGGTGTTAGTACTATTCTCCTTGGTGAGGTAGGGTCTGCCAGAATGATCCCCAGTAAGAAGAAAGCCAAGGAGACATGGGGTGGGGGCACCCAGAAGGCTCGTAGAGCAGGGAGAATGAATGGGATAGAACTGATGACCTCACATGTAGCAGAGCCATATCCTTTGGCTGATGGGGCCACTTGGAAAACCTTATGTTTTTAACTTAGCAGCAACATCTCCATAGAAGACCCAGCAGGCAACTCATCACACGCCCATGTACTTTATGTACAGTGATGTGCACTGGGCCCATCCATCACCAAGGAGAGAGACTGCAGCTTAACAAGGCCTGAGGATGAATATTTCACATCACTTATTCATTAGTTTGTAAGATTTGACTTTCCAGGGCACAACACAAGGTTTGAAGTCATTTGAAATGTTAAAAAAAAAAATTGACAACTCTCATCTTCCCACTGTTACCCTGACGGGGATGTTGTTCTGATCTCTTTGCTTTCATCAAATTAATTGCCCGTTCTGCAATGGCTTAGATACAAGACTGTAGATAATGTCTGGGAGAGCAGTCTGCTTTTGAATGGTAATAAGGGTTGGATACATACAATAGCTGTTCTTGAAAAACTGGAAAGGGATGTGGGTGTGACGATTTGCTAACCCATCCAGGGGTGTCACTTAATTTAGAATGTTTGCTTGGGATGTTTGAAGTAAGTACCAGAAAAATGCAAACATTCTCAGACTTGTTGGAAGGTCATAATTTAGTCAAATATTGCCACTTTCAATTTAGCATAAAATATCAGAATGTCAGAACTGAAAGGAACCATAGGGACCATCTAATTAAAGGCCCTCATTTTTCAGATGAAGAAACTCAGAGGCCAGAAATGATTTGCCCAAGGCCAGGCCATGAAGCTCACAGTAGATTGGGAAATAACCACTTGTCCTTTTCACTTACAGAGCTAAATAAAAAGTCATCTTAAGATAGTAGAAAATACATCATCTGCTGCTGAAAAAAAAAAAAAAAGAGATCATCCAAAATTTAAATGGAGGTTAGTTAAAAATAATTCTTGTTTATGATGAATAGTTTTTTGCCCTTCCTAAATGTATAGACAATTAATAATTTTTTTAAGTTTATGTAAAAATATATTTTTATTTTGAGAGAGAGAGAGAGAACAAGTTGGGGAGGGGCAGAGAGAGAGGGAGAGAGAGAGAATCTCAAGCCCTGACAGCACAAAGTCAGAGGTGAGGTTCAAACTCACAAACTGTAAGATCATGACTTGAGCCAAAATCAAGAGTGGAAAGCTTAACCAACTGAGCCACCCAGGTTCCCCTAGACATTTGATAATTTTTGTTCTAGTGATTAGAAAATTTGCTTAAGACGGGGGGATATAAGGTGCACTTAGAAAATGCCCAAGACCCCATCTAAGTGTAGGAGGCTCCTGACTTCCTGTTCCAGCACCCCTCTGCCTACCCCCAATCCCTTGTTAGGACAAAGTCTCAGGATTCTGCTAAAGAGAATGAGAGATTTCAAAAAGACACTGGCAACACAATTTGGGCTTCAATTTGCTCAGGCTCTTGCTGCTTTTCTCCTCCAAGATAGAAAAAGTAATAGAGAGAGCAAAACTGTATACTTTAGTCAAACAAAATTAGATGCCATCAACTGAAATGACTGCTTTTGACCACTTTTCTACTGTGCAACCAAAAGTGGACTTCCAGCTAAGGGGGCATTGATCTTTCTAGTAATAACAGTAATAAGCCCTTGGATTTGTATAGAAGTTTGCAGTTACAAAAGACTTTCACTTATCTGATCTTATTTGCTCCTCTTGGCAACACTTAATAGGGATTATTGTTCCCACTCCATAGGTGAGGCAACTGAGCCCCAGGTAATTTAGCAGGCATCAAACTTGGAGATTTTGACTTCAAGTTTAGTGTACTTATCACTATATGATTTTTCCCATCAACCGCTTATAAAAATCTACTTTATTGCAGCAACCTTACCCTCTGCCAGAAGGAAATGATGTGCTTAGTAATGAACACAAAGTGCTTAGCTCGATTCTTGACACATAGTGCATGCTTGGCAGGTGACTGCCACTGTGAGGAAGGGGCAGTGTGGTGGAATAATTGAGATCATAGGGCTTGTCATCAGAAAGATCTGGACTTGAGTCCTGAGTCTGACCCGTTCTGTTCTCTGAAAATGTTTAATGCAAGCTGGGTCAAATGGCTCAACTTCCCTGAGGACATTAACACCTGCCTCACAAGGTGCAATTGTGAAATGAGTTGCAAATATGCATGTGGAGCTTAGTTGTGGTGCCTATACTTAGTGTGCAATAAATGTAGGGTGATTAAAAGGATTTGCTCACAGATCTTATTGTAAGGACACAAAGCAATGTCTGTCTTGGAACCAGATGTTAACATTTCCTAATTAAACACCTTGTTCTTTAAAATTTTCAGGCATTCCAAGGCCTCCTGTCTTTGCCTCTCACTTGACCTTACATGTCTAAGAGAGTTTACAAGGGTGTTTGTTCTGCGGCCCCCACAGCTTCTGTGCTCTACAGAGCAGACCTCAGTTGTGGCCAGGTACCTGTATATGATGCACGCTGTATTCTGGCAGGTACTGCAGTTGTTGAGATCTTGGCCAGTTCGATAAAAGTTGCGCCTGCAAGATAGAGCATTTTCTGGATAAATCTGTGGGCAAAAGCCCCATGGGATGCACACATTCTAGCTACTTATTTCCTACAGCATAGCACTGCCCCTCTCTTGGGTAGCAGTGTTCTGGAGTTGCATGACAAATAAAGAAACAAGAAACCCATGATACTAGGATCTCACATTTCTGGAGGGCTTAATAAATGTTTAAGCACTTTCATATCTGAGGTTTTCTTTATGCTGACAATAAGCCCGTGAGATGAGTCAGTTACTCTTACCCCCACTCCATAGGAAGGGAAACTGAGGGACTTTGCAAATGAGTAGAAGAGATGAGATTATTAAAACTTCTGACCATGTCATTCAATGCATTTCTCTGTATCACTGCATTGCTTCCCTCTTATAAGGCAATGTTGGTTCTAATTCATATCAGCAAATGCCAGTTATTTACTTCTCTCTTCTACCCTTTTGCTCATTAGCTTTGGCCATTCCTTCTACTCACTCTTTAGGGAGAACTTTTTCAAAGGACAAGCATTCCACACTTAAACGACTGCCTTCCCCCTCCCCAGACTGGTGCTGAGTCACCCAGGAAAGCATTTTGTGACTTCTTTCCTCTTTGCAGAATTGTGATCTCATTTGAGGTCCTACCTAGCAGATCAGTGATGGGCTGGCTGGATCCATCAGAGTGGTTTGTGGAAGGGAAGGTCAACAGTAACCTCAAGTCCTTTGTAACAAACACAAATAACTAAAATCCTGTGCAAATACAGCAACTTGCTAAGAGGATGGTGTGTGTGTGTGGGGGGGGGTACCTGTGTGCTGTCATTTTCTCCCATCATTAACTGACCCCCTCTCTTTATGAAAATAATTTTTGACCCTGTTGTTTCATTGCCCCCCCTTTCTCCAGTCTGTTGATGTCTGGAAACAAAAACAAATAGCAATGGAAATCCACCAAAGCCTAGAAATTAATGAAACCCATCTGCAACAAAGAGAGGCCATTGGTAATGACTTGGGGAAACCATAGAACCTCAAAGACTTTGGAGACATTTTATTAACAGAAACCAATGCTCTCTCTCTGCCCTTGTCTTGGCAAATGACTTAGCCCAGTAGTTTTCAATATAAAAAAAAAATTCACCTTACCCTTCTGTGAGAGCTCGAGCTTTCTCCAAGTCTTGGATTACATTCAAAAGGACTTTAATTTTCTCTTGGTTCGAATGCAGAGATTCCTCCACCGACTGCAGCCTGCCTTGGAGATCACAGAGCTCCCCCCGTGCCAGGTGAATTGGATTAATCCCACCAGTCTCTCTGCTGCTCTGCAGTGTGGTCTCCCTCCTTGGAAGAGGAGCTGGGAGGTGACTGTTTCCTGAACAATTTTGAAAGTCCTGGGTGTCTGACTGGGTGGGGTTCTTTGCCATCTGCTCCTGACACATGGGGACAGATTTTGACACACTGTTAGTTTTGAGTGACAGCAGATCCTGGTGATTGTTGCTCGATGAAGAATAGTCTGAAGCCCCTCCCGGATGGGCTGGCTGGCTGTGGGAGCCTGGTGAGGGGGAGCGGTGAGTCCGTGGAGGTGAGGGAACACATGTTTCCTTTGACCGAGATGACAATGGTCCAAGGTCTTTGTCATCAGAGTTGTCTTTGGGCAAAAGCAATTCGGGTTTAAGTTTCCCTGTGCCTGGCATGTGGCTGGCATCGCTGGTGGCATTTAAGCAGGAAGGGGATCTTTCTGAATCTGATAGTGGCACTGTTCTCCCATCACCTGGACATATGTCAACCAAAGGATGTATGGAGTTGCTTATATCACCTGACCTGTCTGGGCTGAAAGTGGACTTTCTAGCTGCCCAGGTAGGACTGTGGTAAATATCATCGGGGACCTGAATGGCAGCAGTTGCTTTCTCTGAGGCCCTCCAAGCCCCTGCTTCCAAGCATATGCTAATAGGCCCATTGCTCTGCACCTTGGACATTCTAGGAGGAAATGGATGAGACACTTTGACCCTTCGAGGCCCATCCTCAAGATGCTGAGCCAATCTTAAGTAGGCAAGGTCAGAGGACACAATGTCCTGTTCAGAGAGGTTGCCGTTGACCTGGATGGCACTTTGGGATGCTGTTGGCATTTCTACCAGGGACTTGCTGGCTGTGAGTCTCTTCCTTTTGAAAACTGGGAAATGCTTCCTGAGACTGGGGGAGGTTTGGATCGCAATGTTCCGAAAGCCCCCTGCCTTCTGGGACCTGGGGAAGGAGAGTGAGTAGGTGGGAAGGTGATGGTGCCTGGAGGCTTGAGTCTTACCCATCGCACCTTGGTCCTCAGAAGTCTGGACATCAGCCTCAGCTAGGCCAGGTGGAGTCTTACTGGTCCCATCTTCCTTGAATCGAACCTGTTGAGATTTGCTCCTGCGGTGGTGGGGTTGCTTCACAAACTCCACTGACTCTAGGCTGTTACGCTTTAGAAGCACAGGCCGCACTTTCATATTTTGCTGGGCCATTGAGCCTCAGTTGAGAGGATTGGGACCGTACACTTCTCCGGGGCACATTTCCTTAGGTCTTTGGAGCAGCATCTAATGATGGCATCTCAGGCATGGAGATCTGCCAGCCAGGATGAAGTGGTCCTCTCCTCTGTGTATGGGAAGCTCTGTTGGCCATTCCCAGACAGTAGATTCTACTTGAGAACTAGCCGTAATGCTCCCCCTGCAGTTAAAATACTATTTCATTGCGGTGGTAATTGCCACTTAGATAAACAATGAGTTAGGCTAATCATTAAACATCTGATGTACCAAGAGAGCTGGTGGGCTGTTTATCAAGAGAGGCTGGCAGGCGGTTCTGATCCTGGAAGAAGCTTGCTGTCTTGAACAAAAAGACAACAAAAGTACCATTTAGGGGATAGCGCCAGACTCCCAGTGTGTGAATTCCAAAAGAAACCTGCTACGTCTGGAACATACAGCTTCCTTTCCCAGAGCATCAGTTTCCACTGTAAAACTATAGGAAACTTAAACACATCTTCTTTCCATAGCATGTAAGCAGACAGGGAAATCAGTGACCTGGGGGCTGGCTTCTTTGATGATACATGGTGCCCCTAAGGGAACATCCCCATTTGTGTCAATCACAAGTTCCTCCTTTGGGGCCATTGTTTTCTTTCATGCTGTTTCCCTTTTTGTCACAAAACTCAGTGCTGTGTGACCATGACAGGATTGAAGCATCCGAGGGCATTCAGAGGGCAGAGACCCTGTTGGAGTGTCTTGGCTGAAGTTCACATGTAGGCAAAGTGAGCCGCGTCTGCAGCCTCTGGGAATTTGAGTGAGAACTGAGCTCACTGGGCCTGGGGGCAGGGGTCTGAGGCCTGGCAGTCCTGCCAGCCAGCAAGGAGCGTCTGAAAGGGAAGAGAGAATAGTTGTAACTGAGAATGAAGTTCAGACCTGGGTTTCTCTCCCAATCCCAGCATCCTCGCCTAGTGCTTTTGAGTGGGTGCTCTAGGAGTAAGTCAGCCGCACCGCCCCTCTTTCCAGTCCCCTGGTGCGGCAACCACCTTGTGGCCACAAAGCCTGGGAACAAAATGCCTGTCTGCCTGGACCATTTCCTCCTCCCACTCACTCCCAGGCACCCGTCAGCCAGCTCCTATTCATCTTTGCAGTCCCAGCTTACGTGCCACTTCCTCTGGGAGCCTTTCCAAGGACTCCTCCCTCATATACACCTTCAGTGCTAGACCACAGCAAGACCCATTATACCTTCTCAGCACATCCTTCACAACACAAACTGCAGCTGTCCTGAAAGAACCATTTGTGTCTGCATGTATTTAGGTATGTCTTCCTCACTAACCTGTGGACTCCAGGATGGCTGGGGATGG